TCCATTGTCATTGCATACATACATGTACGTACACACACACACACACAGAGAGAGAGAGAGAGAGAGAGAGAGAGAGAGAGAGAGAGAGAGACGACACATTCCTGAATGCATAAAACAGCTTTGACAGTCTCTATAGTGTTACTTGTGCTTGTATTTTCAAGGTTGACCACTTGGTACTAGATAACCAATGGATGTGCTCTTCCTGGGGAAGACGATTTCTCCCCCTCTGGGCAGTCCTTAGTTATTTGTAGTTCTTTATGTTTGGTTGAGGCCTCCTGGGCTCCCCTGTCTCCCCCCTGGCCCCACATTTACTTTATCATGTCTTTTGTTGTTGTCCTTGTTCTGCTCATGTTTGTGGTGATGAGACCTTATGGGTGTGGCTTCTCACACACCTAGAAGACACAGTTTAACAGCAAACCCCATGATCCTCTGGTTCTTATAGTGTTTCCACCCTGTCTTCCACAGTGGTCCCTGAGCCTTAGATGCAGGAGTGTTTTGTAGATGTGTCCACTGGGACTGGACTCTACAACTCTACATTTTGGAGGGTTGTGGTTTTTGTAATGGTCTCCATCTGTTGCCAAGAAAGGTTTCCTTGATTAGGGATGAGGCCCACACTTACATCTGAAGGAATCTGTTTTAACTTCCAGAATATGTCCCTTTCTCAGTGGCTCCTAGCTCCTAAGCCTGCCTACCCCTAGGGGCCTACAGAAGGGAGAAGTGATACACCTTTTATTATCAGAGAATTTATTTATTTATTTACTTACTCATTCATCTATTTATTTATTTATCTATCTATCTATCTATTTATTTATTTATTTATCTATTTATTTATTCACCTATTTATTTATTTATTTTATTTTTATTTTTTGCAAAGCCAGAGGCAGAATTGCACCTGGGAATTTGGGCCTGTTGCCTTGAGCTAGACAGCAGAACTTGTCTCCTGTTCATCCTTTGCCTAACCTTTACGGTCTTGGGTCTGGAGTTCTCCCTCCGTCCCCCTGCCTGGTTTTCCTACAACCCCACTGGCCAGGCAGAGCTGGGATGGCAATTTTACAGTGCTTGTTATTACTTCATTGTTGCCCACATTGGCCCCACAGCCACTCTGTGAGCAGGCCAGACCTTTCCAGAGAAACTGTTTCCTACACCTTTACAACGTGAGAGGAAAAAAGGGGCCGTTGGATTTATGGAAACTATATAAAGTTTATGGAGTCTTGGCGGGCCAGAAGTAGGAATGCCTGCAGGAGGGGAGGGGTGCATTTTGAAATGGAGACTGCCATGCAAATGCAATGGGGCTCTGTCGAGACACTAGACAAAAATCCCTAAGTTTAGTGTGTGCTGTGTGAGCCTGGGGCCAGGGAAACAGGCCTGGAGGCAGCAGCTGCCAAGGAAGGTCTCAGGGTGACCTCAGGTTCTCCCAATAGCACGGCTGTCCTCATTCTGAAGAGTGGAGGTTGGACAGTGTGACGCGAAGTGGTTGTGCTGGGCAGGCTGAAGTGCCCTCAGACTCTCTTCTGTGCATTGAGTGACATGTCCCAGTTTCAAGCACTGAAAATAGGGTCTTCAGGCCCTGTTTCAGTTCAGAACTTGTCTGCTATTTGTGACTGTGGCTGGACACCCTCTGCTAGCCATCAGCTGTCACCGTACCCCTCCTGTAAAAGATGATTTATGCACAGGCACCCACAGGCATTGGTGGGGACAGAAGCAAAAGCCACCTTGGGGCTAGTTATGAATCAGAGCAGGGTTTCAATGCACAACCCTTGCCTTCTGGAGTCCCTCCCCGGTCCCTCCCCATCCCTCTTCTGTAGGACCTATGGAGTAAAAAATCACCTCTCCCCAGCTCTGTCACCAGGGCACTTCTAATCCATTTTCCCTTCCATTTGTACCTGTGGTAGCTTTCGTTCTCCCTCCTTCTTGTCTGTGAATTCTTGGAGTGCAGATTCCATGAGTGCTTCATTCCAAATTGCTGGTTTTGCCCACAGGGCCTGGCATCCCTCCAGTGTCTGGTAATCCTTGTATAAATATCAGCCGGGAGT